TTGGAAGCCCAGCTCATGCCACATCCAATCGCCCGCCCTTCGTATCCCCCCATCAGCTCTATCTGAGAGTTCAGCTCATGGTGGCTCGATGCCGAACTTCTCCTTCTGTGCCTCGACTTCGGCGATGTATTCGGTCATGGCCTCACACGAAAACAATCCTCCCGACGAATGGACAAGGACCGAATTGGTTGCTGAAGACCTACGGCGATGGCCATAAGGTTATATTTCAATATATAATATTCCATATACTTTGTTTCCGTTTTGAGCAGGTGCACATGAAAAATAGTACTTATTTTTCTGGAAGCAGGGGATGAAGAAAGCCGGACTACGGCTGGAGTTCTGTGATCCAAGCGCCCAACGGTTTCTTTTGATTTGCCTTTGCACTTCTCCCACGCCTCAAGAGCGCTCCACGGGCGGGGGAGTAAGCCCAAGCCTATGGGTGTTCAATGGCTTTGCAGGACACTAGATCACAATCTCTAGGTCCGGTCCATGTCTTGAGCCACACCCACAAAAATGGCCCGTAAAGCAACACAACTGCAATTTGACACCTCAAATGTGCTATCTACCCAGCATGGGGTCCGACTTGCACCCAACTCCTGGTCCTGCACAATAACAGCACATGTTTCACATGGTCAACCCCGCCTCCCACTTGGCTTTGGTCTCCCATTGGACGGACCAAGGTTCGCCAGTGGTGTTGTCACCTTCCTTCGCCTAGAGCACGATTTTCACCCAAAAGCCGAGTGCAATACGTTGTTCTTTCCCCAGGTTCATGAGAAGGTAGACCAAACACCGACGCCGAAGGTAATCAGAATCAGCCAGTGAAAAGCCAAGTTTGTGACTCCCAGAAAAGTCAACCCAAATAAATGACTTTGGCTGACCGGCCCACTCTTTAAGACACACACACACACACACGATTATATAATCACATGTTCTACATGCACGTGGTTTCACACACCGTTTCTCTCATTGAAGCACTGTACCTTCACCTTTTTCATCATCTCAGGATATCGCGAGAGTTGCAGATCCTATTGGGACCGTATTAGTAGTGATGTATCCTGCCTTCAGTGCCTCGCTTTTGCTCGCATAACCATTTCCAAGCCCCAATGGTAATCACCAAAATAGGAAGCTGGAAGCTTCAGCCGGGTAGGAATACCACCCCAAAGAATGTCAATTTGGCGCTGCTAAATGTTCAAACGGTCCAATACTCGCAGCTCAAACCTCCCGACAACGCCCAACCACTCGCCCAACCTGCTTGTAGAGGCCATAAAGCTTAAGCTTGTCCTGGGCTTCATGGCTTCATGAGCCGTTTTCTTGGCGTCAACGGAAAAACCAGCCGTGTGGTGGGACGAGTCAACGGAAATTTTCAGAAAGCAAGACTCAAGACCACAAGAAGAGAGAGAGAGAGAGAGAGAGGAGAGAGAGACGGAGATGCCCTTGATCGCCCTTGGCACAAAGCTTCGTGCCAAGCTTCGTCGGTGCTCGCCGATCCCTTTGTGGGCGTGCCTTTGGCAATCAGGTTGGCCGCCGCCTCGAATTTGGCCTCCAGGTCCTTTCCCACCAGCCATTGAAAAAACAATCTCAGCGTTTGCCAAACTGAAGTGGCATTCTGGCCTCAAGCATAAGTAATTAGGTATTTACATACATTTACGATTGGATGGTCGGTTTCACACTACAGTTGCGAAGCAAATGGCATCAGTTCCGACACTGGCGAAGGTTCAATGAGTGACTCAGTGGATGGTTGGACTCTTGCCCTCTATGCAACATATTTAGCAAATGCAACGTGCAAGTAGCTTGATGCCTGTTGTGGCATCTAGCTGGGCCTAGCATGTTGAAGCCTATCAACCCATCGATGTTCGTCCGCACATCCAAACACCATCGGGAAGGCATGGTCCAGTTGGTCCCACCTTTGATTCGTAACAGACGAATTTGAACTATGTAATTGGTGTGCTTGCATGTGCTTGCTCCACACACTCTGGAGGAACATGCCAAGCAATTTTGTTGAGGAGAAGGGTTCTCTCAACACAGAATATTTCTATCTATATTCTATTGTATTCTCATACTTCGTCAAAGCTAGAGATAGAAACAATATTTAAAGTAAACTGCCAAGTGGGAGGTATTTTTGAAGCCCGACTAACTGCAGCCGCCAGCCCTGCCATCAGCCGCGCTCCCCACCCAGTCCGACATCTCAGCACAATGGCACTTCAGCCAGCAGTCTGTAAGTTCTGCTATGTGGAGCAAAAGAGCTACGCCAAGGGCACAAACGTAACGAAAACACACGAAAACAACTGATGTGGCGGTTGATGGATGGGCACCTGCGGGTCACCTATCAAAGAGCGGGAGTCATGAACGCTGACTTGACCTGGTCAGCCCCCCTTTTGAAGGCCAGGAGCCCTAGTAGCCTCTTGTTACTAGTAGTAAGAATGCTACTAGTGGTAATGCCAGGAGCCCCTAATAAAGCGTCCTTGCTCCTAGTAGTAAGGCCAGGTGCCCCTAGTAATAGTAGCACCGCAGCTCCAGTTCTCGTGAAAAAGCCTTTTGGTCGATTCCCTTTTTCTGCCTCGGTGGGGACTCCGCACAATCGTTGGCCGCGGAGAGGCTCGCGCCGAGCGGCAAAGATGCCGAGACGCGGCAAGATCGAGAAGAACGAAGAACCACCTTTGGACACCAAGATTGCTGTCATGTTTGTGTATTTTCCCTCGGGCATGCCTGACACATCACTGTTGCCTTCCACATCGCAGCTGTCGACTACTGCATGACCGCAATGACTTGTGCCCAGCTGTCTATTAATTAGGCCTTTTCCTGTCGAACAAGGCAAACCATCCCAGCAACCACGGCACCGTACATCACTTATTACGACCTTGTTCACTCATTCTTATCCGTGCAGCTGTTCGATTGGGGTTCAAACGGGTTCATCATGGAAAAAATCCAAAGGCTTCAAAAGGAGCAACATGGAGCAACCATCGCCATATGTAGACAGAATCCTTTACGCGTGACCGGAAGGATCAAGAAGAGATTTCACAACCACACTATTAACCTCTCCCAGAAAACACACAACACACAACACACCACGTGCATTGAATCTATAGACAGGATGCCATTTCAAGGTTGCCTCCCTTCTTCAGGAAAAATGCATCATTGCAAATTACAGTCATTCAGAGTTTCCGCATCAATTACACCCACCACCCGCTGGCGAACTCCAGGGTTACGCCCTCGCTGGGATGGGAAGCAAAGAAGCTGGGGGAAGCTCATGGAAGCAAGAACCATTTCAATGACACAATATAACTGGAGATTTGACGATTTGAAAGTCTAAAGTCATAACATTTGTCCCCCCTGATCAGCTAATCCCATCCATGCCTGCTTTTTGGGCACCAACTGGACGAGTTCCGCTTGGGTCCCCTCAAACCCGGTGGACACCCCTCACTTCTCCACCTGAAGAGGGGCCAGGTGACTCAACAGCACCCAAAGGGGAGCAAAAGGGTCAAGCCACGTGGTTGACTTGGGAGAATAGTGGAACTATCTGGAACGGGTCGAATGGAGGAATAAAGCAGCGCATCTGGCCCTATCTGGAATCAAGTCTATGAGTACTACGACCCAGGAAGTCAAATACCATGACGATGCACTTACCTGAGGCATACTGCAACAGAGCCTTTGCAAGCCCAAGCTTTGCAAGTGTTGCCCGTGCCGCCTGTTCTCCGGGTCCCAAGCCTGTTTCGACCCTGGACTTCAACATCACAAGATCATCCACCCGTCCCCCCAGCATTTTGGAGCATTGGAAGCCCAGCTCATGCCACATCCAATCGCCCGCCCTTCGTATCC